AACTTTGCCGGTTAATGTCGGTCGACCATATTTTAGACACACCACGGCAGGGGCTTACCTTAAATGTCTAGGATCGTGAAAACTTGGCCCCTGGCGTATTTCAAAACGAATAATCCGAATCTGATATCCAATCTGAGAAATAACTGTAACTTTGTCGGATAAATCAGGACAACCGTCTATTACACAAACCGTGGCAGGAGCTTACCCTTAAAGACTTGGTGCGGGAAAAGTGCGTTTCTGGTGTAATTGGGGATGTTGCACGAGAGTCTGGAATCGACATTTAGAGATTCCTGTAAATTTGCCAGATAATGCCGGATGACCCTAATACCCCTTCCAGGGAATGAATTTGCCGGCTCAGGGGCACCAAAAGTAATCTCCAGTTGTATCGAGGGGAGGGAAACGATAATCTGAAATCAGATTTCAGAAACTCCTCTAACCTTGCAGGATATTGTCTGAATTAGATGAAAAAGCATATCATTCAAGTCCCGCGTCCAGATTTTCCTTCCCTCTTGGTCATTCCACGCCTTTTACGACCACACACAAAATTGGAATCTTATTTGGTTTGTCCAGTACTCGTTATAGCCGAGCTACTAGAGCCATAATATGCCTGAAAAAAGTTTTAAGAAAAATGAAGAGTACTTTATTTTGGAAAAAATCTAATTTATTATAATTAAAATGCTTAGAAATATCTTTAAGCACAAATAAAACATCAACACTTATTATTCAGTTTACGATATAACTATTACTAAATTTTATTTTCCTAACGAAGCAGGAACGATTTTTTTGTAAAATTTATAAAGTATTTTTTTTATTTAGCATATGGATCAGATCAAAAAGATAAAATATGAAATTATTTTTTTATGTAATTTCCGTAGATGTGAGTTTTTTTTAATCATAAAACATTTTAATGCATAAAACACACATTTTATTATTAATTTACAAGCCGATTAATTTTAAGAAAAACAGAAATAAGTGGTGGTGTCTAGATAAAGTCTGGAAACACTCATTCCTAAATTTAAACAAGATATATTGACGAATAAGAAAATTAAACTTAAAAGTATAATTATTCTGCGCGTTGGCGGAGTCACATAGTGGGAAAAGTCAACATTTAAAGCAGATGGTAAGAATGGCAGCGATTATCTTTGGAAAACAGACACACAAAACTAAACAATGCTTCTCACACACAAAGTTCTCTGTTCAGTAATTGTTTATGTATGCTATTTGGATTAAATTCTCATCTTTTATCCTAAAGGTGCTGAAATTCGTTTCATTTTACGATGCAGGTCGTAGAAATTATAGAATTGCTTCCTGAAAGCTTATGTTTGCTAAGCTTCTAGATACTTGGGTGTAAGTAATTAAAAACTTCATTAAGAAATCTTTTAACAGCTCCTTTGATTTTAAATCTCTTCATTTTCATTAATCCTACTTTTAAGATTTTTAGATCCCATGAGATTTGAAATAAATCACGTAAACTCTAAGTTGAATAATGTATGTTCTCTCAGACAGCTTGAGTTTTAATGAAAGTTTAAGTTTAAACAGTAGTTTTACTGTTAAATATAGTTACTCTTAAGTTTAGAGAATGGAAGCACACTACTAGCTTTTAAAATTTCAACATTGTGAATGAACGTTAAGTTCACATGAAAGTAAGAAAATCTTGCGATATATAATAAAATGATTAGCACTTAAGTGTTATAGAATGGCGCAGAGAGGACTGAGAAACAGCATTACAAACTCTGAAAAAAGGAAAATTACGCAGCGGGGTTTTCAATCGGAAATAGCTTTAAACATTAGATTTCAGTGAAAAGAAAGGGTTATGCCTCGAATATGTTTGAGAAATGTTTGAGAGCCAGACAAGACAGCCTGAATTGCAGATTGCTAGAGATTTTCACGTAGCTCCCAAAGCTGCTTTCAATTCATGGAAACTAAGTAAACATGGAGACAATGGTCATGCAGACCGGATATGTAGAAAGAAAAATTTGATCATGGTTGTCTAAGAACATAACGATCAATGTAAATCGACATTTTTCAATTACAGAGATATGGAACGTATATAAATGGAACGTAATGGCTTCTCAGCAGCCCCATGAACTTTACATGACCATAGGAACTTGAATTTCAAGGATTACTTTCTCCAGAAGGGTATGCAAGAGAGGTCCTTTTGTAGGATTTTTGTTTTTGTTTTTTTGCATTTATTTTATTTTTGTGAACTCCATTTATAGTATGATGAAGAGAACTTCTATTTTTAAGTAGGATAAGTAGTGGACTATTTGAAGTGAATCCACATTTCAAATTAATCCAATAATCACTGATTCTTGACGCATGTCGTTGGAGGAAATTAAGTTACCCGCTACATATCCTACAATATTCTTAAAAGATACCGATGCAACTGTGGGAGTTTGATGATCTGGACAGAATCATGTGTGTTGCTTAAGTGCTGAGACCTTCATGTTTTTTACAGAGGTTTAGTGAATGCTATGAGATATGGGGTGAGCCTTTTTCACGAATTTCAGTCGAACGTAATTTCCTATTTTACGGATGGCAATACTCGTGAACATTGGATTTTCTGGCATTGCACTAATTTAAAATAAGGATATTTACTATATAGATAAGTCAGCTAGATTTTCAGAGCTTAATTTTATAAAGTAAATTTGGAATGCTATTGGACTTGGTCATTCCCTCCTCTACCCAAACCATCTTGGATCTCCCCAATACAACTATGTTGGAGAAATATGGTACCGATATTTCAACGGACTAAGGGATTATCTTGTTTCCTGTATGAATTCACGTCTTAAGAATAACAAGAAGGGAATATGTGCCATATAATATACACATATTTTTGGTTCCTTTCCGATCTTCCTACATTGATGAAAAGTGCAAACGATCATGCACGTGTATTATAATTGTTGCATGATATATATATTATACTATATCTAATGCTGAATATACATAGCATCATTAAAATCCTTCTAGGCTTCCGGTACTTCTTAAAATAATCTACCATACAACGAAATTATCTTAATTTTGAACATTTTGCAACTAGGAATTTTTCACAATCTTTTGGTTGGGCAATCGACATATTAAATCTGTTGCAGTTCAAAGTCCTTGCATTGCCGTGGTAATGAAATTTAAAAAGTGGGGTGCGTCATTGTGGCTTCTGTATCACTTGATCGGGCTTTAGGTTCAAAATTGCGAGAATCACCAGCAGTTAAATCGGCTACCGAATTCGAAATTAATAAGACAATCAGTCAATCATTCCAATGTAATCGAAATTTTTACGGTGCAAGAAATATTTTTGCTTTGTTTATTTAACTAACTTACTTTGTTTTGTTTATTTAACTAACTAATTTTATTTAGTTTATTTACCATTAACTATTTAACAATGTATATATTTTTGTTTTGTTTATTTTAGTACACTTTTATTTATATTACTTCATTCAAGAAAAGTTAGTGAGTTAGATAATATGCGCCATAATACATATGCTGAAGAAATAAATTAAAATTTTTAGTTCCTTATCTAATTAAGAAAAAAAATTTCTCCTAAGTATAGATTGTTTATATTAAAATTTTAATGTTTAAAAACTGTGTTGCATTAAATAAAACGATTTACACCAAAAAATTCGTTACCAATGTTAGACTGAGCTTTCTACAAAAATTATAGTTTAAAAAAAAAACTAAAAAACACCCTTTTATAGTTAATCGAACTAAATTGTAACTTGAGCTTTTAGTCGCCAAATCCGGAACTGAATTTGAAACTAGCCGCCAAATCTGGAAATGAATCTGAAATTAGTCGCCAAATCTGGAAATGAATCTGGAATTAGTCGCCAGATCAGGGATGGGATCAGAAAATTGGAAATCATTAATCCTGATGATCCTAATCAGGAAAATGGGAAAAAAATAATAAAATTATTGTATTGTCATCGGTCCTGGACAAGTGAGGAAAGTTTCGAATTAATCTGACCTTTCAAAGTGGGCAAAAATTGAGTTCAAAGATTTCGTTACATACAAGTGAAACTTATAAAAAAGGTGTTAAAAATGCTTTTGTTAATGAGATTCTTAATCCTGCCCAACACTGCATTCTTTACAATTTAAACTAGGTAAATAATTTTTTGATTATTTAAAAATGTTTCTCTATCCCACTTAAAGTCTTACAACATTAGCGTTATACCAAAAAAAAAATCAATGAATGCGAAAAAAAAGGCTTTTTTTATTTAAGATTTTGTTGGTCCTTTTGATACACACTCTCCCTTAAGCAGATTGCTTGTTTTTTTTTTATCTCGTAGAATCAATTTATCCTTTTTTTTTTAATTATAAACTATTAATTAATCCAATTTTATGCAAAACTGAAATTTATGTATAGGTGGGACAAGAGGCAAATTAAATTTGAAGCTACTTTTTCTAACATAATTTTAAAGTCCTTCTGAAAAAGTTATCAACATTTTTTTCTTCTTATCTTAAAACTTTAGCAGTAATTTAATATTGTAAGTTAAATTTTTAAAATAGTGTGTGAAAAAAAAAGATTAAAATTAAAGAAATTTCGGTAAAAATTTTTCTTTTAAACGTGATATTTATTTATTTATTTTCACGCAATTATTTTAATTAATTACTACTATATCTGGCACAACAGATCACATCATATACCAAGTTTATGAAAAGTCAATACGTTTACACAATACATCAATACATAAAAAAAAATTTAGTCTCCTTATTTTAAAAACTATTTTAACTTGTAAGTATTAATGAAATTTTTATTTGAATTTATATAGAAGTGTAGCATTTTGATTTTTTTTAAAGTTCTTAAAGATGAAAAAATAACTATCTTCTGAAAATAAGGATCTGAAAATAATGATTTTAAAATATATATATAAACATGTAGTAGGTCACTTGATGTTAGTACAATTTTTTCAAATATTAATTCATTAATTAAATTAAACGATGAATAAATAGAAACAAACAAAAATAATATTTCAACAGCATTTATTGAAAGGAAATTCGTTCGCTGTGTCCCTGTAGTGCAGTGGGTGGCCCGTTGGACTTCTAATTCAAAGGTCGTGGGCTCAAATCCCACCTGGGATGGCCTAATTTCAGAGAATGGGATTTCTTTTCTACTGTACTATTTTATTAGAATAATTAAATTTAATTAATGTTTACATAGTAACAAACAAACAAAAAAGTCTCACACCATATATAGAAAGAAAAATGGAAAATTGCAAGGGGAAAAAAATGGCTTTCTATTTTGTCACTTTATATTGTGATTCTTTTATACATATATATACATATTTATATTACTTGTAATTATTTAATGAAAAGTAAATAAGATAAATTTTTCTTTGTTGACCTAAGCAGGAATTGATTTAAATATTTTTTATATTATTTTCAATACCATTAATTTTTAAGTCTCGTGAGAAACGAATAAAATTCAAAGTCCCACTCTTCCTCTTATACACAATTAACTGAGTGACATTATTCTACTTTTCACCAATTTGTAAGATATCTTACATGCATACATACTTGTTCTTTTCCAAAAGACTCTACTAAAATATATATTTTAGCAAAACGGAAAGGCATACAAACACCAATTATAATATGTTTTTTCGAATTATATACGACTAAAATTCAACGAAAAATTTAGGGGGAAGGGGAATAACAATTTGGTTTCAACTGTATAATGAAATGGAAATATTAGACATCCCAAATGTTTATAAAACATTTGACATTTAAGCAAAAAAAATGCTCAATACTCTAACAAGTTAAAAGTCTTTCCATTTTTTAATATGACATCATGTATACATCTTCCCATCGACATAATTAAGGTTTGTAATGCCTCTGGTTCCAAGTGGTATCATACACTTTTAAACCATTCACTGAATGAAATTGTATTCTATTCTCATAAACCTTCCGAGTTATATTATAATTCCCTTATATGTTCTCAAATACATTTAAATCAGGGCTAATCGGCGGTTACTTTGTGATAGCGGTCGGTTCCTGCTTACATCTGAGCCCTCTTGTCTACCTGTAAACCCGGCTTGATGTGTGGGAGAAACTGAATGATACACAGACATGATTTCAATCTAATCAATTTATTAATTCCAAATATCAATCAGACACAATACAATTCTAATTAAGGAAGATGATATATAGTAGAGCGCAGAGGTGAGATTCTGTAACACGGGGATACTACTACAGACTCTCAGTTGAATCTAAGACAGCTTAAAAACTCTCAAATATAACTAGGTCGCACACTAATAAGCTAACTTCTACTTAATCAAGAGCACAATACCTGTACTTTTTATGCATCGGATCCTACACTGGAAACTTGCAGGTGATCTCTTCGGCTTGATCAATGTCGTTGGCTCCCCGCTCTATTCCTGGACAACTCCAAGACCTCTCAGTAATTCCACTCTCTTTCAATCTTCAACTAATAACTAACTCACAGACTTTATGTTAACTCCTACTTGCAAACTCCAACGTACCAAATCCAACGTATCAATTTCAACGTGTCAACTCCAACGTATCAACTCTAAACTCGCGAAAACAGAATTTATATAATATATTTCATTTACATAATCACGTTTCCTTACTCGATGAAAGTTGGTTGAAATAAATATTTTCCTTAAAGAGACATGAAGGGATTGATAGAACCGCGTATAGATCCGTTACAATTTATGAACAGTAACATTACTAGATTTTAAACAGCTTTTTGTAGCATTCAGGTATAAAGGGGAACATTTTCTTGTTAATATTTCGAATTTTGTCGATCTTGAAACTGATAGCTACCCATACTATCACAATTCTTTAGTTGAGGTATAGTTTTTAAGAACATCGGTCATATTTAATTAAGTCGAATTCTACGTCGGGAATGTTGGGAATAAAGTTTATCATTTAACTGCAATTAAGCATGTATTATTCGTTTTTCTTTTCTTTCTTTCTTTTCCTTTTTCAATTCCTACTATTAGCTCCCACTCTCTCAATATTTATATATACATATTTATCTTGCTCAAATTTTCACTCATTAATAAAATAATTTCTATTCATCCAATCAAGTTCAAATAAATTTTTTAAACTAGTAATGGATGACACTTGATGTTAATATAGTTTTTTTAAATATTAATTCTTTATTTACCAATTAATTAATTTAATTTAATGAATGACTGGTTTTTGACGCCAACTTAGATTTGTCTCCATTGTTGTAACAATGTAATTGTTAAAACAATGACAAAATTCGACGTCGAAAACCGGTTTTTCGGCGAAACTAGCCAAACTGAATGTGCATTGTTGCAGACAAATCATGCTCTTTTTTCCACGCACACACACAATTGCTACTATTAGTTCTCTCTCTCCCTATGTCTATATATATATATATATATATATACTCTCTTGTAGAGAAATTTTGATTATATATATATATATATTTGTGTGTGTATATATATATATCTTGTTCAAATTTTCAATCGCTAATAAAATATTTTCTTTTCATCCATTCAAAGTAGGGATGGACTTAAAAATTTTTTATACTACTTGCTTTTATTTTTTTCATTGCACAGCGCCATAAATACCCCTAGTGGATAGTTTTGGAACTTCTTATTTTTTTACAGAATATTATTTCCCATGTTATTATTCCTTTCCAAACTAAATTTGGTGCAACTTCGGTTAAGTCGAGCTACGAATGATTCTGAAGTATCACATTAAAATAATAATCATGTATATACTTGCGTCTTTAAAATTCAGAATACTTCGTCACCAACATTTTTAAAAAGATGCAAACCCGCAGGGTTAGAATTGGATTTCATTACTGAAATTAAAGAAATCAAAGAATTGTTAGATCGAAAATCATTTATGTGAAGAATTATCCAATATTCTGATAAGAATTTTACAACCGTGTGAAAAAAAAGAACGCGAGCATCTGGAAAATAAGATTACGAGATTAGAAAAGAAAAGTAATGATGTAAGAAAAACAGCTATATTTCATCAAAAAAAGAAAAAAAAAGAAAGAAAGAATTATCATTCGTTTTGAAACTTCCGAAATGTTGTGGTTCCGGCATTATATTTACATCAGGAGTAATCTTAATAAAAATTATAGTTTAAAAAATCTAAAAGAAACCTTTTATAACTAATCAAACTAATTTGTAACTTAATCTCTTAGTTGCAATATTTGGAATAAGTTGCCAAATCTAGTGAGAGAGTGGTGGGGTTTTTTGGTGCAAGAGCCAATTTTGGCTAAGCCGCGCCAAACGCTTACTTAAGCATTAAAATTTTAAAATCGTTAAAACGTTTTACAAAAACAGTTGAAGTAATAAAATTTTAAATCGTAAAATATGTTTAAAAAGCCAGGTTTTTTTTTAAATAAACAGATTTTGGTTTAGGGTTTTTCCACCAAGTTCGATAAGTAAGATTGAGAAAAGTCCCTTTCTATTTCTTGTCAGAGTTAAAAAGTACGAAACGGCGTACTTCTCATTTGAAGGTGAATTCGGTGAAATATATTCATCTTCGTTCATGTCATACACAATCATGTCTTCCACATCCTTTATAAATTCTACAGGTGCTGATTTTTTTGGTTTATGTGAAGCCATTTTGATCTCTATTTTTGGTTTTGCAGTGTTAGATAAGTTTTTAGGGGAACGCATTTTTTACGAGGTTTTGAAGCCTGTGTTACAGAAGATTTAATTGTAGATGGTAAGCTATTGGATGTGGAGGTAGTAGGCATGGTACTAGATGTAATACTAGTGGTAGATTCAAGAACACAGAAGGGGGTTGAATAGCGGAGTTGGAAGCAGATATGATTCAGGAAGATGATTCAATAGGTATAAACATATTCTTGGTGGCGAAAAGAGAACGGCATTAGACACAGGAATAGGTGGCCGAGACTCTCTGACACCTTAGCTACTATTGAAGGGGTGGATGGTAAGAGGTGCGCTTGAGTTGAGGTACACTATTTGGTAACTGTTGGAATTTTGGAAGAGATGGTTGGTTTTGGAACGGATATCAAAGGTTGTAGTAATTTCAAAGGCATTCATACTATTTTTGTAATGGTTTCCTCTGTTTGGGTTGTTGGGGTTGCAGTTGATGATTGACAGCTTAGGGTTATGTTTCAGATATTGAATTTTCGGGCTTATGGATAGGAGATATTTTTATTTGTTTTGATTTCCTGAATTTGCTTTTCGGGTTTCCATTTGGGGTAGAGTTTTGAATCAACGGAATGCGGTTGAGAGCAGTTAATTCATTTAGGCTCTAGAACTTAATCTGAGGAAGCATGTCTAGCAGACCCACATCTAGAGCATGTCAATTGTCCGCGGCAGGCTGCTTGTGAATGTCCGAACCTTGACACTTAAAGCAGCGCAGAGGATTCGGAATGTATGCGCGATTTTGAAATTTAGAGATAACCAGCTTTAATTGTTGTTGGTAGCTTGAATGTTAATATTAAATGTTTTGAAGGAATAATTGTAGCTTCTTTTTTATTGTAATTCTCCTGACCTGAATCACACCCTTATCAGAAAATCCTTCAAGTATTTCTAAGATTTAAAAGTGCTCAACAAGTCAAGTTCAGAAATGACAACGCAAGAAGTATTAAGCGATTTGTGAGGACTTATTGTAAAGAAAATCAAGAAAATTTTTGGCAGGTAAAAAAGACTTAGCTTGTAGAGGAGAGCTTGTTTCGATTAATAGATCACCGGATCGTAAACGTTTTACTGATTTAGATTCACCACCTATTTCAATTAGTGCTTTGTGACTTTTTCATCATGTCATCGTTTGGCAAAGAAATTAATATAAATCTTACATTAGCAGCAATTTCATCGACGGTTAATGTGGGTAATACAAAGCCTTTATCTGGGCACAGCATATTTGGATCCATAGGCGTGAAATAAACTTCATTCTGACGTTCCCACCACGGAGTCCAACAAGGGAGGCAGTGTGCCGGTCATCTGGCAAAAACCAGGTACGGCACTCACCTCGAGTACACCCATAATATAGTGCTACAGCATCAGGGTGAGGATCCAACGGGCAAACCTGACAGCACTAACCCTACAGCAATGCCTCTTAGGGGACACTGAAGAGAGGTATCACCAGCCGATTGACAG